AGAGGGACGGAAGAAATCAGAGAAGTACCACACTTACGTTCCTCTTTCTCTGTTTTATTGTACGAGCAGCCGCACTCCGGCGAAGACCGCCGTCGCCCAACGCCGCCCGCCGAGGCTACAAGTGGCGGAGATACCAGTATAATTATTAATTGTTGAATAAAGACGATATTAGCATTCGAGTGCCGTTTTTGGAAAGTGAAATTTCCAACAACAACTATTCTATTCTGAAATCTTCGCCGCAGTTTTCAAAGAAAGCAAGATCTCGGGGGCCCTGATTCATGGAGTCGGATATTCAGCAAAAACATCACCGTCTTCTCCACGATGACCAGTACGAACTCCACCACCGGCAGACAAACTCCGGGTTGACTCGGTACCAATCGGCGCCGAGCTCGTACTTCACCAGCGTCGTCGACCGGAAATTGTGCGAGCAATTCGTGAGTAGGCCGTCGAGTCCGGAGACGGAGCGAATCTTCGCACAATTTATGACCAGCGGGAGCGGCGCGCAACAAATTGTAGCAGTGCCGCCGACGGTGAAAAGCCAAGCGGAGGACGTAATTCAGAAACAGAGCAATATGAAGCGTTACACATCTGTTTTGAACCAAAATCAATGGAAACCCCCTTTGCCAAATAAGAGCATTAATTTGAGGAGGGAAGATAGTTATTCAATGGAAATGGGCGGTAATTGCAGCCTTGTTCGGCAGAGCAGTTCACCTGCACAGTTGCTGTCCCACATCAACCTTGAAATTGAAACTGGTAATTAAATCCTAATATTAATCTTATTTTTTGTCCTTTATTTTTTTATTTTTTTTTTTGGCGAATGCTGCAATTATTTAATTAGCAGGGTTCCCGTTTGAGAATTGGGAGGATACAGACACGGACATCATTATGCTATCCAAGTCCCAAAATCAGGTGACTTTCTACTTTATAAACCAATATAATTGAACAGGAATAGCCAACAGGAATTGGGACTGATTTTTGTGAAAGCTTGAAAAGATGGGATATCTAACACAGTTTTATAATATAATTGGGTTACTTCTTTCATTGTCAATTAGTTCTGAGATAGAATTTATGAATATAAATACGGTATCAGAGTACAAGTTCGAACGAGTATTCGATTCGATCTGATCAAGATTGGTGAACTCAAAACACAAGATCTCATATTGAAAAGATAAAGTGACCAATAACCATTTATAATATAATTTGACTACCTCTCTCCTTACAAATTGATTTTGAGATATAACCCATGAATATTAATAATTTTCAATACGGGAATTATGTTTCGTTAATGAGTACAATTTGAACAGCATATGAAAGCCAGAAATCAAGGTCCTATGTTGGGTCCAGCTTTTCTCCACTTATCAGATTCTGTACCCTGCAAAATCCGTGCCAAGCGGGGCTGTGCAACTCACCCTAGAAGCATAGCTGAGCGAGTGAGCCCAACACGTGAATTATTAATGTTAAACAAAAAAAAGTACATACTATATTAAATCACTACTAAACTCGTAGAGGGATGGAGGCAGGTTAGGCGAACAAGAATCAGCGAGAGGATGAGGAAATTACAACAACTTGTGCCCAATATGGATAGGGTAATTGATCTGTTTCTTTGAATTTGATGGTGTGAAAATAGTTATGCATCTTGCCTTGTTTATTATGCAGCAAGCAAATACATCAGAAATGTTGGATTTGGCTATTGACTACATAAAGTGCCTTCAGAAACAAGTTCAGGTATGTGACTCACCAATCTAAACTTCCAATTATATATTATTTATAAACGAAACTTGGCCCTTTTTAATTAACTCTAATTATTGCTTTTATTTTTTCAGACACTATCAAATAATCATCAAAACTGTAGATGCTCAAACAAGCAGCTGCAACAAAATACTAGTATGTTGTGATTATTTTGCAACATGAGAAGGGTAGAAAGATTTCCAACAAGTGCGTAATCAAGATATAAAATGTGTATAAATGGCTGATTATAACGTTCTAACTTCTTGACTTGATGCAAATATTGATTGTTTCTAAATTAATTATATCTTGTAAATACAGGACATTTAATTTACTTTTTCTTCCCACAAAACTGCATGAAACACAGTGTATATATTGTTAGAAAAAGTAACCAACAAAGGTATGATGACCTAAACAACAAATTCATACTCAACCTTATACTTTTCAGATAAACAACAATGGAAAATGATATCTATAGAGAGAGATTGGGAGACTTTTTTCTTTCTTTTTTCCTATTATTCACATTCAAGAAGGCACACCATCACACTCATTCATAATTAGCATTACAAATTAGATAATGTAACCTCGTTAATCATTATACTAAAATGCACAATCATTATTGGTGGGAAATGAAAAATAGGTAAAATTTAAGAGGGCCCAAACCCAAAACATTGTATTATCAATTAACAACATTGTTCACCCAATATATTTTCATCATAATGTCATTATACATAAACACAATATATATCTATAAAGTTAGTTGTCATCACATTGCCAACAAAAATAGTTAGGACATCTCATTCTTTTTTTACAAGTCCGAGGTCCAGTCTCCCATCCTCATATTCGTTGTACTAAAAGAAATCGTCACTATTATATGTTGGTCACACAAAATAAATCTACTAACATATATCTCATAATAATAATGTATTTGATTAAGACTCGATGGGGGCAAAAGATCTTTTATTTGATACAACATGTGGGGGTGGGAGATAGAACTCACAACCTTATGGTTGGAAATATATGACAATTACTATTAAATTATGCTCGTTTTCACTTTGAATTTCTTATTCTTAATTTCTTATAAAGGCACGGTGTACAATAACTAGCGTCATTTAGGTATTCAAACTAAAAGTTAAAAAAATATATTATGACGATAGTATCGTCTAATGATTAGTTTGGTGATTAAAACAATTTTTTTAAGTTGGTTATTTCTCCATTGAATTAATCATTTTTGTTTTTTAGTTCATAAAATTGGAGAATTTTAACCTTAAGTAGTAGTTGGTGGAGAAATAAGTAATATCTTAACCAATTTAATTAGAGTTGTATCCATTTTAAATTGATATGTCAATGTCTCAAAAAAATGTCAATGTGATATCAATTCATATCAACAGTGATTTCCAAAAAAAAAAAATCATATCAAAAGTGTAATTTATCATTTATCAAAAAGAAAAAGAAAATTGACCTGTTCCATTTATGGCATGTATATTCAGTTCTAATTACATTAAGTATATTTAACTATTTAAGGTATATTTAAAAGGTCAATCCATATTTAACGCCAATTTAACTTAATTATAAAGAAAAAGAATGGGTTGGTGATAACTATTTTATTATGAAAGACAAAATAAGGAAGATTGTCAAAATAATCAAGAGAAATGAAAAACTAAGTAGATTTTTTTTAATAGAAATAAACTTAATAAATTAGTTTATTTTAGAATCGTTTATTTATTTTTCAAGCTTAAACTACATAGACTAGTTTAATTTCAAACCCATTTTTGTATTTTAAAATTTCTCATTTGTGTTTCATGCATTCCGAAATCCAACTTTTCTTTTCTTTTGGAAACTGGGTAAATGGCTAAAATATATTTTTTGGGAAAAATATATATTTTTAAAGTGATTGAGCATAATGCAAAATTTACTTTTATAAAAAGACAAACAAGTAAATTTATCGCTGAACCCCAACGTTCACTTACCATATATTTTGAATTTTCCCTCTCAAAAGGAATAATTTGAATATTATTCAAAAAATAAAAATCATATAAAATTGCAATTAAACGATTTCCCAAGTCCCTTCCAGTTCCAGTTCCAGTTCCAGTTCCCGACCACATTTAAAATTTGTAGTTCTTTTTCCGCTGAAACTACATTTTTTTGAATTTCTCTCCGCCATGGATGATCAGGAAAACGTTTTCCAATCGTTCCCCACTTTGGTGTCTTTTGCATCCCCTGTTCCTACGCCTTCATCCCGCCGCCTATCCAGCAACTTCACTCTACCCAGGCCGCCAGTCCCCGCCGCCCGGCGACTATCTTGGGTTTCTCTCCAGGGACGCCTCCTTAACGCCGACCAAGCTAGCTCGGTTCGATCTATTGGAGGCGGATTGGGCTCAGACGAAGCCATCGCCTGGCAGTTGTTCAGCCCCATTGAGCGATTTCTTGTAGTCGCCGTGATCGGCGTCGCGGTTTCCGAGTCCAAGAAGAACCATCAGATCGGCCAGCTTAAAAAAGCTGTGGAACTTAGGGTATTTGTGGCTTCTTAATCCAACTGCAATTTGTTCTTCTCTCTCTGGTAGTAATGAAACTGTACATGATTTATAATTGCTGGGGTTTGAACTTTCAACTTCACAAATCTTGGTTTAGGGCTTTTTGTTCTTCCTATGCCTCTTCTAATTTGAGCCATTTAAAACGCAATTCACATTGAAGAAAACTGTACTTATGAACTAGTAATCCAATAACGGCAGGTACCCGATAGAATTGATTTTGAATAATCCATTGAAGCTCCTAAAAATTAAAATTACATGGGTAATAAATGAAATTTTTTTCTACAGTTTTTTTTTTCTGTAATAATGTTTCTAAGTTTTCCCACTAGTTTTAATCATTTCAAAATTATGTGTTTACAATTTCATACCATCAGCACTAGCTTTACTGTCCCAATTGACTGGCCCCATATGTCTTTTCTAGCATATCTCAAAATTTATTATAAAGAGTTCATTGGTGGTTAAACTAATTGCTCACTTTATGGTTTCTGCTTCTAATTTGAAATTTTTGAACCAGGGGAGTTTTCTGTAAGCTAACATGTCTTTTTGTTTAATTCAAGAATTGCCCAGTTGCTTACAGTGATTCCGTGAGGGTATCTGATTGTTTTATCCTGCTGTACTTGAGTATGGGAATCTTGAAGTTAATGAGCTATGTGGGTTATTTTTCTTATTAAAATTATTCGTGTTTGCAAAATAACCAGGACCAAGTGCTTCTAAGCATGCAGCAGAAGCTTGATGATCTATGTGATCAAGTCAATCCCGTTAAGGATAAATCTGGAACTGAGGAAGACATGGCTTTGAAGAAGAATGCTGATTTGGCAGACTCTGGAGCCTTTGGCCACGAAAAAATTAAGTTTGTTGATTGTGGTTGTTGGCTTTGTGATGAGCATCTCAATTTGTTCAATGGTTTGGAGGTAAAAACAATAAAAAATTTTACTGTTGCTTTGAAAATTATGAACTCAGTTTCCCTTATTTTGTCTATTTTTGTTTCGTTTTCAGCAGGGTAACACAGCGACAAAACCCTGTTGCGGGGCAGAGATGCTACAATATAAAATTCCACTCATGAATGAAGCAGAGCAAGAGGAGCGTAGAATGTCTGATTTATCAGATTGGGCTTCCAGTGTCACTTCTGCTGCTGATATACAGGTCAGTCCAATATGTTAATTGTTTTATCTGCCTCAGATTCTACCTGAATTCAAAATATCATACTGTGGCAGCATTTATTGTACAAATTGGACCATTCTTTAGTGAGTTCCAAATGTTACGAGATGATGTTTTTATGCTTTTAAAATATTCTTTACAGATGAACACCTTATCAATCGAACAAGATATGTTATTTCTGAAGAAAGATTGTGACGAGAAAGACGCAACCATCAAGGAACTCACTACCTTACTCCACTCGTCTGAGGTTTCTGGTTCACAGGTAACATAACATTTCTCTGCTCTTAAATTTTCCCCCCCTGGCCTTCGATTTTTATCCTCTAATGAACTTTCTTGTGTTTCCCATCACCCCAGAGGATCTCAGAGTTGGAAGACATCATTCGTCGGAAGAACATGATAATTTCAAAACTAAAAAAGGACATGGTGGTTCTTGAACAGAAGGTACCAAACAGAAACAGGGCATCAATTTTAAATTTTTGCAAGTTTTAATTGTGTTTGATTACGAAAGGAGATGACAAAAACTGGATGAAATTAAACCCAGGTTGTTCAATTGACGAGGCTGCGGAGACCCTCTTCGTGTGCATCAAATTCGGACATCCAACCAATCCCACACATGACCGATAACCTTCTCTACGACATGGAGAGCAGCAGCAGTCCTTCATCTTCCGACTCAGATTGTTGCCCACCCACAAGAAAGCAGGGGATTCATCATGTCCAAAACAGCGAGCCTTGTTTGATAAGAACCCAGAAATCAGCAACTAAGAAGAAACCCACAACACCAGATTCTCGCTCACAATCTCAGATGGCAGCCCCTCTAAAAGAAATTTCGATGAACAATCGAAAGGCAGGAGTTACGTCGACATCCAGGCAAAGGGGGGAGGCGGTACCGGTACGTGCCAGTGGCGATTCCACAAATATCAGAAGACGCTTTCAAACTGCAGTGGCCAAGGACAACACACCTCAACGAAAGAGAAATATCTAGTAAGCATCATACATAATACTACAGCTATGAAGTTTGAAAATTATGTTAGACATAGAATATGACACATTGGAGAAGATGGGTTTCTGGTAATGAATTAATGAGGATGGTGAAGCATAATTTGTTGGGTTCTTTTGGGAAAATAATTGTGAATGGCTATACCAGAAGTTGTGTACTGTTGATATGCATTCATATTTTAAAGTCTTTGATTAGGTAAATATGGGGAGGAGATGGAGAAGGGAGAATATATAATGTAGACGCACATAGATGCACAAAATTGTGAGACATTTGTAGTGGTAAATTACTAAATTAAATTAAAGTTGTGTGATTTTATAACTCGGTCTCTTCTAAGTCCAAATTGGTGGCTGCTTCTGGGGATTTTCTTGAGAAGGAAAACAACAAGGAGTCCTAATTTAGGTTGAAATTTTTGTATACTTTACACGGCTTATATAGTTTAATTTAATTTCATCATTTTAATTCCATTTGATTGAATCATACATTTTATTAAATTAATAACTTCTTTTATTTAATTGCTAATTTGTCAGTATTAATATTGTTGTTGGCGTTGATGTTGATGTTTGTTTTGGTTCTTTCTGTTGAGACCTTCCATGTGAATTTGAATATCCTTTTGCTATTTGATTTTGTGCTAAATTTTGGGTTTTTTTTTACTGGTTTTGATATTTTTGTTGATATATTTTATGTAATTTTCTATCTTAATTTTAAAGAAACTAATAAATGCATCCCTTATAATTTCAATTAAAAGTATATAAATAAATAATAAATAATAAATTTTGTTCCTATATTTTCAAATCATGTTTATTTAGTCATATTATTAATACTACTAACCCAAAGTTGACCTAATATGCTTATAAATATATATAACCAAATTTTATAGTTTTGCCCATATATTGCATTAACTTCGTATTTAAAAAAAACGAAAAATATTGCATTAACTAAGTTTTTTTTTTAATACAACACGTGTGGTTGTGAGAGATTCCAACTCACAGTCTTCTAGTCGGATGTAAATGTCTTAACCGGTTGAATTAGTCTGCATTAACTAAGTTAGAAACACGACTCATCTTAATTTAATAATATCTTTACTTATAAAACCAAAAATATAATGGTTGAATAATAAAATTTTGCCAATTATCAACGTAACATCATTATTTAAAAAAATAAAGAAATTATATTTGGTAGCAATTACAAACTTACAGATGTTTTCAAATTAATTTTTAAATCAACAAAATAATATTATGCAACGTGTCTTTTGATGATCGATCATCCGATGATATCAGATAATTAGATCAGTTCATGTGGAGATTGGACTCAATCCATCAAGCCCATGAGAAAAAGGCTCATATAAGACTCATTACACCCTATAAATAAAGGAGTCACTTCTCATTTGAGAACCTTCAGAAGAGGTCGGATCCAGAGCCAAGAGAATTCAAAACCTTCCGATAAGAATTCATAAGACTTGAAGAATCAAATACTACGAGACTTTAAGAATTAAATCTTCTCTTCGTCATCAACAAGCTAAAGATATTCAACAAACTCAAAGCTAAGTACTTAGGTGCCCGTCTCATCGATCGGAGAACAAACTCGTCAACTTTCATTAGTCCTTATATCACAGTTTGCATCCGAGAGAAATTATAAGAGAATCAAACATTTGAAATTATAGCACTGCCTACATAAATATGCATACTAGTTCATTAATTCTATTTCTCTTCTCACAGGTTTTGGGCCGACAATAATAATTTATCCCACTCAAAATATGTGATAATATAATAAATAAGAAATAGACTCGTGAAAAAAATACTTTATTGACAACCAACCATTCTGGTAACATTTATAATAAAATTTGATCGAAAAAGAAAATTAATAAGTATAGAATTAAAAGTTTCTAAAGATGAGAAATTGAAAGAAGACAAGGGGAAAAAGATATTTTTGAGATTGAGTTCTCTCACTAAGAAACAATGTTAGCATTTTGATTACGTGTTATTTGATTGGGACACGTCAGTTGATATCGTCATGGCGGCCAATAAAATTGGAGCTGCTCCCTTTCACATCTCAAAAAATTACTTTTTGACTTTTCCTCCGATCTCCAAAACCACTTTACAACACTTTTTTCTTTTTAACTCTTTTTTTAATGAAAATATTCTCGTAATAAATTCAGGATTTTTTTTCTTTAAAAGATAATTCCTTGAAGTAATGTTTCCGGTAATAAACGAGATCTCAATTGGATAGAATTGTTAATTGATGATGAAACATCGATATTGACCTTCTAATCAGAGATAGGTGCCTTAACCATTTGAGCTATGCTCGGTTTGGCATAGTAAATATTTAAATTAACACTTAATCATTCCACACTTTTTAATAAGTTATAATTATTAATATTATGAACACGTGTTTACATATGGATGGAAATTTAATACTCTAATTATAAGTTTTGTTTTTAAAAAGGATTATGTATTTTAGATACAATTTTGTGTGAGAAAAATTTTATATGACAATTCTTTGGTCATGGATGTTGTATTAAATTTTGGTTTTATCTGTAGAAATCTTCCAAGATTTATTTTGACCAAAAAAACTTGAGAATGAGGACTACGAAACTCTCTTCCTCGAGGGAAGATTCCAAGATATATTTTTCATTTCTTGAGAGAAGAAAAAGAAAAGGCATTGCAGACCAAGCAAATGATGTAAATAATTGATAATAAAATTTGGGTTGAAATAATATTTTGGTCCCTAATTTTTACGATATTAATTGTGGTCCCTAAATTTTTAAGTTTGGTTCATTTTGCTCTGTCCTCTCAAAATATTTATTTTAGGTTTTGTACTTTTAAAAAGTAGTTATTTTGATTTAAAATTGTAAATTTTATACTTAATGAAAACCTTTTAATATAAAATTGTAGTTACATTTCAAAAAATATATTGGAAATAATGTTGTACTGAAATTGTGATATAAAAAATAAAATTAATGAACTAAAATAGTTACTCTTTAAGAATACATACCTAACATAATATTTTGAAGTACAAAATTTAAACTAGTATTTAATCTAAAAATTAAGAAAGGGAAGAAATATTTTTTATTTTTTTGCAAAATTTAACTCTTGTAAATTCAAGCCCATGTAACCATGGAAACTTCCCACTAAACTATTTAGCTTTTAAACTTCCAAGTTCCAACTACTGGAACTTAATAATAACGTATCATTTGATTTTATCTATTTATTAAATTAATATTATAATGTTTAAAAATTTTAAAGTACTGAGGTCATTACCAAATTCAACTTAGATTGAGATTCAGAATATATTGCATAACCCTACGGGGTAGGTAGCTATATATTTCTACATCATACACATGTCACGTAATACATATAAAGAATTCATTGGTCAAGAGGCAAAATCTTTTTTTTTTTTTAACAAAGTCATTTTGATTATGAATTATAAATCGTCCTACTCATGAGAATGGGTCCTTCCAATATTGACATAAACTTTAGTTTAAAAAGAAGAAACTAAAAAATTGGAGAAGTTTTGTCTTTCCAATAAAATTAAAAAAGAAAACAGAAATTTCTGAATTTATTTACCGTTCAAACTGCCCGTTGGCAAGAGAAATGTCAAAGACGAATAACCGCGGTTATAAATAAAATAGAAAAGGAGCATTGCTCCTTACCTCACGTGGCCCTGATAAAACAACCGCCAACATTTATCTTCATATTACATGATAGGTTTAGGAGCGAAATATTTTTCAATAAAATATACCGGAAGTGAAAAATGCGAGATATGAAAGAGCCAGGGGAATGTCAACTGGCGGGACTGCGACTGGGAGGAAATTATTACTGTTTTTCTTTTTGGGGAATATTTATTTATTCAACGAGTTGGAAGAAATTGGTTGAAATTTTAATTTGGTTTCTAAAATTCCAAATATTGACTTATTAGGATTCAAGACAAGACAATACGGACACGCCCCAAAGCCAGAAAACAATCGGTTCCTCTTTCTTCTGTAGAGCCGTGCCGGAGGTTTCATATTTACCAAAATCACACCATTTATTTTTTTCCCCCAATATTTATTATAAATTTCTCTCCTCCTTCATAATTATTCTTCGTTTTGGTCTCTAAAGAAGATGCCCATGGACCGAACTCAGGCAACCTCGGAAAGCCCGAGCAGCAGGGTGATGGTTTTGTCGATCGAGTGCATCAAAGGAAGCTCACGCGCCGACGAGTGGACCGGCGACATGCTCCAGACCGGCGACATAGTGGAGGAGCTAACCATCGGGTCGTCGCTGTGCGTGAGATCCCCCTTTAAAAACGGGCGCTCCGGAATCCAAAGAATTCTCCACAATTCCTTCAAGGACAAGCAGACGTCCATCGTGGTCCGGGTCCGCCGAGGCCGGGACCAGTTCTCGGAGCTCCACGCCTGTATCGTACCCAACGACTCCGCCGGAAGAAAGCAGTACGTTCTCCGCTCCATCACTGACCCGAATTACGTCGTCGGGTTCGTGGATCGAACCGAATCCGAATGCTTCGACCTTCAAGGTTCCTTTCTTTTGCCCTTTCGTTTCATATGGGTATTATGGGTTGTGGATGGCGCCGTGGTTTTTTGACTTTTTGGCTCCCACTTGCATATCATGCTTGCTCACACGTGTAACCATCGCCTCCCACTTTAGTTTCTTTTTCTTCTTCTTTTTTATTATTGGGGGGTTTTTTTTTTTTTTTATGGTTGTTGAACAAATTATTTTCTTTCGTACAAAAATTTCCCCTAAAATTAGATACTAGTTTGAAACTTTAAAATATAAATTAAATCATTTATGTTTGAATTGCACTATCAATCGAACCTAATATTTGATTCCCTTTCTAATCTATGAGATTAGGCCGCTTATAACCTATAAATCTTTCAATGTTAAATATTGCAAAAGCCCGTTGTTAATTTGAATAAGTAGTTAGGGGAGTTTGAATATGGATGGAAAAAATGAGTTTTTTTAAGTAGAAAAAATGTGGGTAGAGAATTTGAAGTATTAACTTCTTACAGTTGAGTTAAAAATAGGTCAGTGGAAGTAAAAAATGGGTTGATTCTGTGTTTTTTTTTTTTTTAAAGGAGGAATGTAAAAGTGGATTACACATAACCTATCAATCATTCAATGCTACATATTGCAAAAGCATGTGGTTTTTGGAATAATTGGTTTATTATTAGGATGAGCTGAGCTTTGATTAATTCTAGAATAATAGTTTTACCCGCAAATGCTTACACATCCATTAATAAAATTTTGAATCAGCTAGAAGCATCACATAAATTAAAATCATATAAATTAAAATTTAGGTAATAAATGTGTGACATCTTGAAATTAAATGTCTAATAATTCAGAGTGGGTTCCATTTTTAGCTCTAAAAAGTAGTTCTTCCTTGAGATCATGTTATAGAAGTAACATTGATAAAAGTGTTTAACCGAAAAGCATTACAGAACACTTTTAGAGTATAAAACTAAACACCAAAGTGATTTAAACACACCGTATTAAATTCAATTTAATTTTGTGAGTGCAGCATCGAGGAATGACAGAATGGTAAGTGCATTAGAGAGGACAAGGCTTCAAGATGGATATGTATCATATCCATGGGAAAGAAGGATGCACGAAACCTTGTCTGTTCCATATTCCAGCTCTTTTCTCTCCATTCTGCTGCTTCCAAAAGCTTCAAATGAAGTGGCCACTCACTACAATGACTTGGAAGACACCCTTGCCAGAGCCAATGCCTGGCTCAACTCTGCCCAGGCCAGCGGCGTCCCCATTGTCTTCATGAACATTCAGACTGAGTCTCTCTTAACCAAGGTCCTTCTCCTTCTCCTTCTCCTTCTCCTTTTAATAACACATTCTCTAAAACAAACATGCCACGATTTCAAATAATTAACTCGCCTCTGGTTTTGTAGATATCTGGAGATACAGCCTCTTCCACTGTCAGTGCTGGTTCCTTGTCTGATCTGTCCAACCTCACCAATGCCAGTCTCTACGGTTTCGAGGATTACCATGGGGTCGATATTGGTGTCGTTCGATCTGTTCGTCTATGGTATGCTCCTCTTGGAGGAGAGCTTCCTCTGGAAATCAAGCTAAAAGAAGGAGATTCCAAGCTGGGGTTTGCCATTAGTCGCACAGAGGAGGTAATTCAATTACTCCATCAAACTAAGTTTCAAACTTCTAATAAAAGTGCCTGAATTAAGTTTCTATATGATGCAGGGATTTATCTATGTTTCATCTGTGATGGATGAAGATGACAATGCGCCTTCCACAAGGTCAGGGCTGGACCATCTGTACAAGGAAGCTGAAAATGCATCGAAATTGCTTATAATCTCAAGAGTTTCGAATCAGAAGGTGCTCCCATGGATAGTGTCTTCTACAGGGGCAATTCGATGCTTCGACACAGTTTCACTCAGCCAGAAGCTGTCGTTGCATAGGCACGCCAAGGTCTCCATTTTCTTGCACGTCTTTTTATGGGACAGAGAATTGGCTTCTTCAATCGGCGCCGCCCCAAGTAGGCAAAGACCCACGCCGTCGCAGCCGGCGGCTCCAGCGCGGTTGGCCTTGCCTCCAGAAGTCCAATTGGCTCGCCACCCAAACGACAACCAAATACAGCCACTGCCGGCGGACGCGTTCAGCGAGAGCGGAAGTAATAACACTGATGGGTCGTCGATCAGAATGGAACGAGACACCGCCGGTGACCTCTCCTTTAGATTTCATGAGTTTTCTCTATCGAGCAACTGGGTATGATTTTGGTTGCTTTAACTCTACCCTGCACAAATATCAACGATAGAACAGAGTTTTACAGATGTGGTATCCAATATAGGTTTGTATTGGAAACAGAGTTTTATATTGAGTGGAGTTTCCTACTGGTTTCGCTAGGAAACATTGTTTATTATTCAAATCGACGTCCTCCTTTTCATTTCATTTGTATTAAGAGCATGAATTCGGCTGAGCCGGATGGTGAAATCTCAATATTTTCATGGAGGCTTAATTAAGTTTATCAGATCTCCCCACTGAAATCTACTCTGCCAATACTAATGAGTTTTGGAGAAGATAATTCAACAGACATTTGATACTAAATTCAATTAGCCATTAAATTTAGGGAAATTTTACAGAGTCATTTCATCAAACAGGTTGCAAACGAGGATAAGAACTCGATCTTCTTGAACATGATTGGTGCTGTAATATATAGATCTCTAAAACTAGATGCAAATTCGACGGACTCCTAAACCTAAGCCCTCTCACCCCTAATTCTTCTGGCGAGCTGGATGTCCTTAGGCATAATAGTGACCCTCTTGGCGTGAATGGCGCAGAGATTGGTATCCTCGAAGAGACCGACAAGGTAAGCCTCGGCCGCCTCCTGAAGCGCCGCGACGGCGCTACTCTGGAAGCGAAGGTCAGTCTTGAAATCTTGCGCAATTTCTCTCACCAATCTCTGAAACGGAAGCTTCCGGATAAGAAGCTCCGTGCTCTTCTGGTACTTGCGGATCTCCCTCAACGCCACCGTCCCCGGCCTGAACCTGTGCGGCTTCTTGACCCCTCCGGTCGCCGGCGCCGATTTCCTAGCCGCCTTGGTGGCCAGTTGCTTCCTCGGAGCCTTCCCTCCGGTTGATTTCCTCGCAGTCTGCTTGGTTCGGGCCATTGGAAAATACGACAACAAGGATTCGCTTGGCTCGTGTTCCCAATGTTCGAAAATGAGATGTGAATGAATTGGGTTTTGGAGTTTCTTATATAATATATGGTGAAAGGCAAAAATGGCGAATGGCGGGAACTTGAAAAGATAAAAGGCACGCTTCTTCAAACTTCGGAGGCTCTGTTTTGGTCGAGGCAATCCAACGGCTGAGATTGGTTAAATGTTGGATTGCGATCCGTGGCACTTCTAATTGACCAATAATACGTTACAACACCCTCTCTTTCAAAGTCGACGCGCCTCCTTTCTTTTCTATGATTTTTTTTTAATTTAATTTGTATTTAAAAAATGTCATAATTTTTCTTTTCTTGAGTATGTTTTAATTTTTACCTTATTTTTTAATTTTGACTTTATTTCAATTATGCGTTATTTTTACAATTTTAAACTTTATACTATATTTAAAATACTATTTAATTTATGTTATTTATATAATTGATTTTTTTTCCATAATCAAAATATGCATGATAAGTTAATTTCAATGGTCGGAAATAATTGTTTTTTAACTAGTTGAGTTATTTTCAAATTTCATAAGTAAAATAGTGATGAGAGATGATAAATAAAATTTTTAGTAGATTCTTTATACTAATTATCAATTTTAATTTAAATAAATATGAATGTTACTTTTATAGTTTGTTCGACAGTGTAAAATAGCATACCATCGGGTTAAAAGAACAAGGTTGAGTAGAATTCGAGGTGTCATACGTCAGTATGATGTGTCCAACAAAAATTTTCTTTACTACGTTCAATTAAGTATAGGTCTGTTAACGTAACTTCAGCAAGGAAGTTGAAGCCACACACCACGTCATAGTCAAAACAAGAATATCTATTATTGTGCATTTTTGTTACAATATTTT